GAAAAAACATGGAATCCTAATGTTAAGATTGAATCAGTCAAAGACAGCCCTCAACAAGAAGCAATGGCGTATGTTATTTTATTCTAACTAACAAATTTTAATATCTTTTTCAAAAAATTTTGTTTTTTCCCTAACTGTGTTAAAAATGATTTCTGTAGGGATGACTGTGGAATTATTGTTTAATACATCATAAGACAATACATGAGGCATCAACCAATTCCAAACACATTACCACTAGGCACATCCACAAGACTCAGAGTAGACATGGTACATGGGTTCTTCAGTGATCCACAAAGATCAATCAGAGTCAAGTAGAGTCAAGATTGCAACATTCAATAAAATCTTTTTTGATGTGTAACTCAATGAACTCTTTTTTGTAACACTCTGATACAATAACTAATGTTTTTGTTAATAGTTCCAAGCATATTGCCTAACAAACATATTACAATTTCTATGATGTGTAATGGAATATTTTGTCATACTCTCAAAGATATATGCACCTGAGCTTTGTTGATGTTTTTGTCCATATTCCCAGTTTCTATTATCCTGTTCCTCACACTACTACATGGGAAAAGTGAAAATAGTATTATATGTGAAAATAGTGGACACAAGACTTTACTGTATCACAATCAGTGCTTTGTTGATGTTCTTGTTTATATTTTCAGTTTTTACGCAGTGTTTTGTTGCCTCATAATATTATCACAATCACTTATTTTCAAACTTAGAAACTTTAAAATTGAGAATATTTTCAATTTTATACAGATCACTCAATTTTCAAATAACAATATTATCACAACAATTTATTTGCTACCTCACAATATTATGACAATTTGAAAAATTCGAAACAAAGAATATTTTCGCTTTCAGTCCACCGTTACTTTAATCAAAACATAGAGCATTAACCACATTTATTTAGAATATTAATTCACATTCATTCAATTGATCACATTTATAACTAGTTCCAATTCATAATAAAAGCCTCACACTATTATCACAAAATCAGCTATTTTGAACTAAAAACTTAAACTGAGAAGATGTTCACTTTTTATACAGTAGTCACATAATCTTCAAAACAAACATTCAAGAGTCAAGTTTATTTACGAAAGCCAACCAAACAATATTATCACAAACAATTTCAAAATTAAAATTTGAAACTAAGAATATTTTCACTTTTAATTCAATGTCACTTTATTCAAAACATAGAAGATTATTACTCAGTGCTCAACAGTAGAAACTGTTATTTCAAGAAATTTATGAATACGAAATTTTTACAATCACAAAGCAACTACAAAAAATCACAAAGCCTTCTTACACAATTTCTTATTGTGATTGCCAACCTTCCCACATCTACTACAAGTAATTTGCCTGACCTTCTCACCATTCGAATGAATCCTCTTCTTATTTGGCCTTCCTAGTTGCTTCTGAGAAAAGGAGGAAGAACAACTTCACTATCACCATCAACATTACAATCTGGTTTCCAAATTGAAGGAACATGATATATGGGAAAAAGAATAGGACTCTCGATAACTTTGAACATAGAAGTATTGATCAACAAATAAACTCAAATCATGTCCACTCCTTTGTATAGCACCAACTGCATGTGCACATAGAAACCCTTTCAACTGCCGCTCGCCACAAGAACATATTCGTCTACTAATGTCAACTGAAACAGATGGATGTGAATGCACCTCATAGACATCATTTCCAGATGAACTAACAATCCATGGCCTCGAAGTATTAAAACCATCATGCAACTTGGACTCCATTTTAGGGCATATCAAACCATTCCATTTATTAACAAGTTCCCTCCTCTTAGCAATTTTCCTTATCAACTTAATTCTTACATTATCAATCAACTTTGTGATAGGCAAGTGGCGTTCCTCTCGTATCCACGAATTGAAAGATTCAGCTACATTTGACCACATCTCTCCAAAGCATTGCCCTCGAAAATCTGCATTACTTCAATGATCATATGGTATGTCATCTAAAAACTTTTCAACTCTTGACCCATCTTCAGTTTTTAACTCAACCAAGCATTGATGAAATGTTTCTTCAGTTGGAGCATATGCACATTTCCCAAATAGAGTGATCAGCTTTTCTTTCAATCCATGAAACATACCACGCAAATGATGCCTCAAGTTCATCTTCAAATGATATAAACAATAAGCATGGAAAGCCATTGGGAAAACCTTTGGCAACACTTCAACTAATCCAAGGTTACGATCTGACATAAATGTAATATTTCATTCTAGTGAAACAATTCTACTCAAATGCTTCAAAAACCAACGCCAGATATCTTGATTCTCTGAGCTGACAACTGCAAAAGAAACAGGAAAGAACCCTGCATGTACAAAACAGAAAAAATGAAAATATTCTATTATTTTTAGAAAATGGTAACACTTTAACATTCAAAATATCAAACACTAAAATGAATAACTGAAAAAATAAAAAATGCATATACAATAACAATATTATATAAAATTCAAAACATTCGATCATATTTCTAAACTGAGAACTTTCTCAATTTCAGAACAGAGAAAACAGATTTCTTATATACCTTGATTTCCATCTTTTCCTATAGCAGCAAGTAAATTTCCTCTAAATCTTCCCTTCAAAATTGTGCCATCAAGGAATAAGAGAGGTCGACAATAATCAAATCCACTAATGGAACCATGAAAAACAACAAATAATCTCTTAAACCGTTTAGTATCATCGTCACACTCAAACTCAATGTAACTCCCTAGATTGCAACTCTTTGCAACATCCACATACCATTTTAATTGGTCAAATGACATTAAATAGTCTCCAAAAATCTCACCTTTTGCTTTCTCTACCCCCAACCAAGCTTGACGATAACTAACTCTCAACCCATACCCCAACTTAAAATCTCGAACAACATGAACTGGACGTGTCAATGGATTATCACGAACACCTTCAACAATCAAATCAGCAACTAAATCAGAACTCATACGAGAATAATTCATCGTACGTATTTCAGCACCACATGTGTGGACATTGTTCAACTTCCTTATATAAAAGAACCCATTAGCATTCTCCACTCTACCATGAACATTTCATATACAACCTTTTGTCTCTCTAAACAAACATTGTGCGGTAACACGAACTTTATCATTCTTAACAAATATGAACTCAAATCCACACTCAATAGAAAACTTCGACAATGCATTACGAAATTCAACAATTTCACCTTCAAATTTCTGTCCTACATGTGTAAAACTAACTGCCCAACCAGCAGACAACAGTACTTTTTCCTTGTGTCGATAAAATGATGATAACATATCAACCTCTTCTTCAACCTCCAACCTCGAATTCCTTTTGGAGGATGTAGATGCTCTACTTGACAAGTCCACAAACTTACTACTATCATGAGACAATGCAATATCACAAACTTCAAGATCCAACACTAACTCTCTTTCTCCATAATCCAATCTTTTGTTGAGATAACCACAGTCAATGGTTGAGTCTTTTACTCTCACAACAACATCAATACACTTCAAATCAAAATGCACAACTAATGCCAACAACAAATCTAACTCCTCATTGTTGTCCAACGTACAATTAAGATGTCCAGGCAATGAGTAAGATAGACAAATATTATTAGATTGCAAATTATCTCATTTCAAACATAGTTTCTTAACCAACTGATCATACGTAACATTTTGATCAATCTTAATTGCAAATGTGCAACCATTATACTTGCACAACAAAAAAAAATAGGCGCACTCGTAAAACCTTCACTCATCTTTCAATCTAAACAAGAAAAATGATCGCATCAATAAAAACCAGAACAAATACTTCATAACAATATTAAGAACTTTCTCAGTTTTCACAAATACTTCATAACAATAAAAACCAGAACAAAAACTTCATAATAATACAAATACTTCACAAATCACGTTTTTAATTTATAAAATAAATAACCAAACCGAGAAATCATCCAGCAAATCACGTCTTCAATTTGCAAAAACAAAATTATTCAACATATTCTCATAAATAAATTCAATCAAAACTAAAGAAAATTCTAAAAAAACATAATATATAAAATCGAAACAATATATACCTATAAACCAGATCGAAGATCAAATATCCAGCAAATCAATTCTTCAATTTATAAATCGAAATCGCACATAACAAACTCCAACAAATTTCAACTCAAAAAGCGAACCAAACTAAGAAATCCTTCAAGATCCTTTCCTATTCGAATAAAAATCGATAAATCAATTACGTATACAACAATGATTCATCCCCCCTTTTCCCCCCACCCCCTTTGACCCCCTCTCTCTCTCATTGGTTACATTTTCTTTTTCTTTTTCTTTTTTTTCCTGCTCCTCCAATCACCACCCGCCACGTGACAAAGGGGGGTGAGGGGGTGACCCCCAAAAGGAGGTCCCAAGCATTATTCTTACGTATAATAGCGAACCAAAGCAATAAATCCTTCAAGATTGTTCACGATTTGAATATTCACCTACTTCCATAACTGATCTGTTAACTGATTTGTTTTTTCTTTCTAGTAAATAACGTGAATGCTTATATCTCCAAAAAAAAAAAAAAAAAATCAACAAAAGAGGAAATTGTACTTTAAAAATTACAAGAAAAATTATTGCAATTATTTGAAACTTAGGAAAAACTCCATGTAATTATCCATCCCTAACCAATATAGTTATCAACGACGCGCAGGTTACAGAATCAATTTTTTGATTTTTCTTTTAAAAAAAAAAATATAAAAAAAATAAAGAGATAATGTAATTTAAAAAGTTAAAAAAAAAATTAACTTTTTAACTTTTAATTCAATTGCCAAATTAGGCTATTATCCACATGCATCATGTTCTATGGGGAAGAAAATTATGAATAACAAAGTTTCATTTTAGTTAATTAATTTTTCATTTATATATGTGCCGACATTACTCTTTAAAGAACCACTCAATAATAATAATAAAAACTAAACTTATTTGCCAAAAGTGTGGGCCACGGCAAGGTTTAGCCAGCTGAGATCCGCTCCAATTTCCCCACAAATTCCCTTTTTACAGTTCAAAAAAGGGCAAGAATGGCCCCCTCTTTCCTTCTTCCTCCTCCAAAATTTAAAAAATTGGCCTACATCTCCCATCAAACCTCATACTCACCTCCACTTTAGCTTCCATTTCCCTCTCCCCTTTTCTCTTCTCTTCAAGAGAGAAGCTACAAAAACAAAAGAACAAAAACAAAAACAAAAACAAAAAAAAAAAGCAGAATTTTATATAATTCAACAACCTACCCTTGATCCAAATCAATTATATTACTAGTATATGTAACCATTAGAGAGAGAGAGAGAGAGAGAGAGAGAGAGAGAGATGGCGATTCTGTATGCTCTGGTGGCGAGGGGATCGGTGGTTTTGGCGGAGTTCAGCTCCACGTCAACGAACGCCAGCGCGATCTCCCGCCAGATCCTGGAGAAGATTACCGGTAATAACGACACCAACGTCTCTTACTCTCAGGATCGCTACATCTTCCATGTCAAGCGCACCGACGGCCTCTCCGTTCTCTGCATGGCCGATGACACCGCCGGCAGTAATTTCTCTTTCCTTCTTCTTTTTCTCTCATTCTTTCATTTCATACTACTTCTTCTTCTTGTTTGATTCAAATCTTCTGATGCTCTTGCTTCATTTCAAACCCCAATATGCTTAGTCTCTGATCAATTGAATATATGGAATTTCGATTTACTCATTTGGGACATAAAAAGTTTGAAATTATGGTGTGTTTGTATATATGTAGATCAGTAGCATTGCTTAACGCAACCATACTCTGTTTGGATGGGGTGATTTGGTGAGAAATGATGAGAAAGATAACTCTTTTTTCGTGTTTAGTTTGTATGTTGTGCGAGAAATGATGAGAACTGGTGCCAAAAATGATGAGATTTGGTGGGAAACAAACAAATTGATTGGTTATAAAATATTTACAATACCAAGATTACCCCTTAAAATATAAAGAAAGAAAGAAAGAAAGAAAGAAAGAAAAATCACTCATATATGATATATCCCTTCCACTTGCTTTGCTTTCTTACTCATTCGAACATGGTGGTGAGAAGACAAAATCATTTCTTGTCTTTTCTTTTCTTTTCTTTTCTCACCTAGGGCTACCCAGTTTTAGAATGCAGGTTCTAGTATAAGGGCAGCCACTGTTTGCACAAATTATTCGAAAACTTTTTCCCATGTGCAATGATGGAACTGTTAGGTTTCTAGTAAATCTACCCTTCTTTTCAGCCCCAATATTCAACTACAGATTGTGGAATGCAAATATGAACTCTTTTCTCCATGTGGAATGCTGGAACTGTTAGGTTTGGGTTGGGTCTAATTTAGTAAATCTTACCCTTCTTTTCTGCCTCAATATTACTGGAGATTGCAGAATGGAGATATAACTGTTTGGCATTCAGAAATAATGAAACAAGTGAAATTGTTTGCAGGAAAGTAATTGTAAATTTTAAGAGATGAGAAAATGTGCCAATAATTAAGAAATTGCTTGCTTCATATGCTTATAAGTTACTGATAACCCTTCAGATATGAAGAAACAGGACTTTGAGGAACTAATAAGTTGATGATTCATACAGTTGGTGACAAAGGCAATGTGGAGTTCAAAGTACGGATAGTTCATGTTTTTTCGCATCCGATCCCACTAGAGTCGGCATTCTAATTATTTCGCGATCTCCAAACTAGTGTGAAATATGATAGTAATTAGGCACTATTTGGCATAAACTAAATAAGTGAACTTATTTAGGTAGCATCACTTCTCTACTTTTCTGTACATATTTTCTTAAAAAGTCAAAAAGTATACTTATTTAAATCATCCAAAACAACCCCTTAGTATTACAATTTACAAGATTCAAAAACATCTTCCTTTGCATTTATCTTGCTTGAGAAGATTCATCATCTTACTGCTTCTATATAAGGATCTTTATTTTGTGTTTACTATATTTTGAATTTGTTAGAATTTCCCATCTTTATCTTCACCTACTCCACTACACACTCCACTTCACCTACCTCCACTTCACCACACACTCCACTTCACCTAACCCACTATCACCTCCACTACACCTACTACCACATTTTCTTCTATATATAGATTGTATAGGAATTGTAATTTATCAATCTTGTAATACAATATCAATCTTGTAATACAACATCAATTTTTCTTACAGAATTCTTTCCACAGGGAGAATTCCATTTGCATTTCTTGAAGATATCCATCAGAGATTTGTGAGGTCTTATGGTCGGGCAGTTCTTTCAGCCCAAGCTTATGCCATGAATGATGAATTTTCGAGGGTTTTGAGCCAACAAATCGAATATTACTCGAGTGACCCAAACGCGGACAGGATAAACCGATTAAAAGGTGAAATGAGTCAGGTAAGTTTTTAATTTTTAATTTTTTTCATTATTTTTTGTCTCTCTTTTTTTTTCTTCTGTTTTTTTTGTTTATTGCTTTGTGTGTGTTTTGTACATGTGTAAAACTGTTAATATCAGTCTTGTCTATTCCAACAACACTATTACTCATCCTTTTTATATTCCATGGTGTATGGCTTTTGACCGTTGTCCTCCTGTGGTTGCCTAGTGGTTAAATTTAACTGGCCCTTCTGTAGTTGTTTCTGTTTGACAATGCATGGTGATTAATTTTAATTGGACTAGATGATTCATATAGGTTTAGATTTCTTGCTTGAATGAATAATGATGAAGTAACTGTAATCTGTAGTCTTGACTTTCTGCTTGGATCATTACATTTCTATGACCATTAAATTTTGAATGTGGTTATCATCGAACAGGTGCGCAATGTCATGATAGAGAACATTGATAAAGTTTTAGAGAGAGGTGACCGCTTGGAGTTGTTAGTTGATAAAACTTCCAATATGCAAGGAAATACTTTTCGTTTCAGAAAGCAGGCTCGCCGTTTCAGAAGCACCGTATGGTGGAGAAATGTCAAACTCACGTATGTTTCCTGAGCTAAAACCTCTTTCAATGTTTGAGCATTCTGTGAGGAACATGTGCATCTTTATCTTCTAGGATCAGAAGTGTCATTTGGAAGGTGGCAGTTCCAATCCACCACTAGATGAACGTTCATTCAGTAGTTTAGGCTAATTCCTGTTTTACAGGAATATCTGGAATCAGAAAAAGAAAAAATTTCAACAATCAATGCTTCCGAGTAAAGATATGTAGCTTCATCACGTAATTTATATGCAATGCTTCTATATGATTGGGTTTTAAATAAAATGTAATTCAAGCATCAATTCCATTTGTATTGCATGCCTTGAGCTTGTGAGAAAGATGCTATCAATTCTTGGCTGTGGTTATGCAATAGATTTTGAGTAGATCTCAGAGTTCTGCATTAACATTATCCAGCTAAGATGCCCTGGTTTAATCTCACATAACTGAATGGTTTCTGGATAATTTGCACTTGGCCAGTAAAATGGTAAAAAAATTTAAAAATTAAGTCTCAAATCATATGGAGATATCAGAGTATTCTTGATGTATTTAATGTAACATGTATTGTGTTTCTTGCAGGATCGCACTGATAGTCCTCCTCTTGGTGATTGTTTATGTTGTATTGGCTTTTGTTTGCCATGGTCCATTGCTACCTACTTGTCTGAAGTGAGAGTTGGTTTTGAGCAAGATTTGGTTGTTTTATCCCTTGTGCAAATATGGGATCCTTCTACATTTGTTTGTGCCTCAGATTCTTGTTCTTGTGCCCAAAAAAAAAAAAAAAAAAACCAAAAGCAAAAACGAACTTTTTTGCTTACTTTTGGCATCTGTTGCGGAAATTTTAACTTGTTCAGGTTGTGTGTGTGTTGATTACCTTGGCTTGAACAGTTGATATTTGTAGAGGTCATATATTTTGTGTTGAAAAAATTGCATCTATGTATAAATCTAGATATTTGTCTACTTGGAAATTGAATTTATATGGGTTGCTTCATTGGTTTTTGTAGGCTTCTTCTTCTTCTTCTTCTTCTTCTTCTTCTTCTCTTTGTCTCTCTCTCTCTGCTTTGAAGTTTGCTTTCTTCGTTCTTATTTTCTGCATGCTTCTCATGTAATCCTTTGCATTGTCATACCTTTGGGCCATGTTTGTTTGGGTGGACATGAGTTTGGGATTGGACTAATAGTCCAATAAAATTATTAATCCGATGTTTGGTTAAACAATTAAAGTACGGGCTAATTATTTTAAATTTGACTATTAGTTAAGATATGATACATAATCCAACGGATTCGTAGTCATAGGACTATTAGTCATGGGACTATTAGTCATGGGAATGCTAATCCAGTCCGCCCAAACAAACATGACCTTGGAATACTAAATTTGCCAACCAAACAGAGTTTTAGCAATGTTATGATGCTCGCATAATTTTCTTGTGGATTATTAAAGTACCCAAAGCCAAGGTTCACCTAGAACATGGTTCTTATAAAGAAAATTAGGTTTAACTTGGTTAGAGGTGGAAAACTTGCCTATTTAAAATCGTGAATTTGCTCAATTCAATCCAATTTACTTAAACTAGGTTATTAAATAAATTGGGTTATTTTAATGTGTAACTTGTTTAGATCCATGCGAACTTGTTTTCCACCTCTAGTTAGCTAATTAGTTTGATCTTGAATTATCCATAAAATAGAAATTTAAAAGAAAATAATATACACATTCATTTTCTTATGGGTAATCAAAATATATTTGACTAATGCCCATTCATTCTCTTCTCATTTTTCAAACCCAAGTAAAAAAATATAGATAAATTTACTTTCCTTCACATCAATTTCTTTTCTTTTCATTTCCCTATTATTTTCTTTCTTTCCACAAATCAAGACAAACATCCTCAATTTCACACAATCACATTGCCTTGTTTAAATTTTTTGTCAGCTAACTGGCAACTATGAAATGCATCCATCAATTTTGTGTTAAAAAATCCTCATTCATTGGCCTCATAATTACTCAATTCCGAAAGGCAAAACTGTGCCGTTGGAGAAGTAATATGCTTCTGTGCGTGGCACGGCCCATAACCATATGGCATCTCAGCCATCGTTACAGTTGCTGCACATGGCGGCGAATACTCCCTGGTGCCGTTGTTCAACTAGCTAAAAACCAGGACCAGTGGCTTTTCAGTGATATAAATGGTATAATCATTTGCATATGTATGGTAATGACAATTATCATGTACGCATTGCAAAAATGTTTTTTCTGAACTGGGAATATTTTCATTCTGCAAACTTCGATACTTGCAATTTTGTACAAGGACCCAGTGCATCCAGGAAACTCCCAAGAAATTCCTATAGAAAAGTGATATATTCAATATATTGAAACGTTTTGTCCTAGATAGTCCCTACACGCTTTCCAAATATAGTCCCGCAGATACTCATAATTCAGCAGAATATGACAGTGATTCATACATAGCATCCCGCAGATATTCATAATTCAGCAGAATATGACAGTGATTCAGACATAGCATCTCTCCCTCTCTCTCTCTCTCTCTCTCTCTCTCTCATCAAGGGTTCTACTAAGAAACAGCTTTTATGAAGATTAGCAAAAGAATTGAAACAGCGAAAACATGTCATCCTCCTGCACAACTGTCTCCCTACTATGTCCTATTTGGCTTTTAGATTCCAAAAAAGTGAACCACACCAAAAATTGGTCGAACTATACCACCATTGTACAGTTTTCATTTACTACAATGGATAACAGAGTACGACCTGTACCTGCAGTTTTTATATTCTGCTGCTAGCATAATAAATCCAATCGAATCAGGCATACATTCCCGATTAGAGCATTCTCCACCACTATATCTGTGTATGAGAGAGAGAGAGAGGGAGCATCAACTGTCATTATAACAAAATTAGAGAAGTTATTGTTACAAGTTACCACACTGCATAATTTTACCATCAAAATAAGTTGTCTTCAGCAAGACTAAACTTGTGCAACAACTCCTCTAATCCTTGCAAGGCAACCTTATATTGTTCTTGAGATTGTGCCCCTTCTTCGACAACTTGAATGACACGTCTATACAGATGATTATACCACTGCAATGGGTTATCCACATTATCATCATTAGCGTCACAATCTATAAGATATCTGCGCTTAAAATCCTTACACCAACGCAGTAGAATGTATCGTGAAGGTATTTCTTCGACACCATTGTAGTTAAGGACATTCAGTGCATGCCGGCAAAGGTAACCTTTAAAGTTGAACAAACTACAAATGCAACGGATATCCACTTGAGTTGTCTCATACAAAACCTCATAATACCTAACCTCCTTTTCGCTCCCCTCAACTTCAACGCGTTCTTTGACCACATATGTTATTATTGGCCCACTGACACTCACCTGCTTTGTGTTGAAGCATGAGTACATCCCCTCAACCTCAGCTTGAAACTTCTTGAAGATTTCTTTTGTATACACCTTAGAGAGTTGCAACTCAAAGTTGCATCTTGTTTTCAATTCCAAGCTTGAATTTCTAGACTCCAAATCCCCCATGGCTTCTTTGAGGTGCTTCCTTTGGAGAGCTAGATCATACTTATCTACAAATTCCTTAAATGATGTATGTTTATGTACATAACCATCAAAAAATGCAGTCAAGCCCTCGTTTTCTTTTATGGGTATCATCCCTGCAGAAGGAATGTCTTTTAAGTAAACTGGAACCCATCTTTGACGATCTTCATACAATGCTTGAAGCCATTTATGATCGCCAAGCCCATGACATTCAATCAAACCACCCCAAGAAGTTTCAAACTCAGCTATCTTCAAGGAGTCATAAACTGCTTTATTTAGTTGTCTTTTGATTGCTTCAAATCCCTTCAGTCCGCCCAACTTCTCAGGAACACGTTGCATGATGTACCACAAACAATAACAATGATGAGCTTCTGGGAAGACCACTGAAACTGCATTTTGCAAGGGCTTGGACTGATCAGTAATGACAACCTGTGGAGGATGTCCTAGCATACATGCAAGCCATGCCCTAAAAATCCAGACAAAACACTCTACTGACTCGTGTCCAAGGAAGCCACATCCCAACAAAATGGATTGCCCGTGATGGTTTACACCAACAAATGAAATAAGAGGGATCTCAAATTTGTTTGCCAAGCATGTCGTGTCAATTGCAATTGTGTCACAAAAGTAGCTATACGCAGCCCTGGATCTGGCATCAGCCCAAAACACATTCTTCAATCGCCCTTCATCATCAAGATCCATCAAATAAAAGAAGTTTGGATTTGTCAACTTCATTCGACAGAAGTAGTTATAGACTGCATGTGCATCCCCTTCTTTAAGTTGCAAATGCTTAGAGTGATTAATGGGACTTCTGCCTTCTCTTTCATCAACATTAGAGTATCCATTACATACAGCATCCACAGCAGCAGTTCTGTACAATTTTATAGTATGTATTTCTGTAGTAGGTTCTGACTGCTGTGCCTTTTTGGCTGCAATAATCATCTTTTTGTGTGATTTGTAAAACCGTTTAACATCTGGACTCACGGGATGGTTGTGTTCAAGCTCAACTTCAATTGTTCTCCACCTCTTAGAATCGACAAGCCTAATGATAATCATTGCAGGACAACCAGTCCTTGTTTCTGGTCTGGGATTGTTTGCTTCACTCTTTTTCTTGAAACCTGCACTACTGCAGCTAAGTTTTGCCCTATACCGTTCTTTTCTCTTTGATCGAAACCATGAATTGCTCACTCTGATGCCAAAACCTTGTCCCTTAGCATAGACGTTGTAAAAATCATAAGCTTCGTCAAAAGAATCAAACTCCAAACCTACAGTAGGTGGTGGAGGTTCCTTCTTTGACTGTGTTTCACCAATTTCATCATCGTGTTCCATCAGGGAACAATCTCCTTCATCCTCATATTCATCGTCTTCATCAAACACTGGCTCAGTGTTAAGACAAACTACCTCCATCTGAAACACAAATGGAACATAATATAAAACGAAGTGTTTGGACAAGCAAATCATTATAAGGAGGAGAAAGCACATTATTAGATAGGATGTTACTCATCTCATGCAGTTTCCATGATTTTTATTATTAGAAAGGACACGAGCAACAAGACAAAAAGCAAAAAAGTGGGAGGTAGACACACACAGGCATGTTCATACTTCTGTTTGTGCACAAATGCAACCAGAGAGACTACTTGCCAAATAGCACACATCCACCTGGTAGGTCAGACCTACCAGATGACTTCTCCCGCGCTGCCCACAAACAAAATCCACAAATAGTATTTCACAAATTATCCAACACATCTTGACATATTTTGCCATTAAGTTCCTTGTCTAAGTTAAATCACACTTCGAAGCTGAAGGCAACGACTTTGTGCAAATAATACCAAAGGTTAGATCTATACCCAATACATCCCTCCAGAACCCATCCAACGGCGTACTAAACTGCATGAACTTTTTTCAAAAACTTCTACTGTCTTTTGGTGTAATCAATGATACTCATCTATATAGAAGAAAATCATGTCAACCATCAAAAATAATCAACAAAACACTATCTACGATTAGTAGACAATCAAATTCTGTTTCACTCCATAACTATGAACATGATTAAGTACCAGACTAGCACTAGAGACTCCTTCACAAAATCCCTATAATGAATCTTTGACCGTGTTATGGCAGAAGCACAGAATTACAATTTGTCTTTCTCAACTTAAATGCTGCTTCTGCCGGGAGTTCTAACTATTCAAAAACTTAAGAAGCATAATGTGGAATATTTTCAGTATACCAAAAGATGTTTGACAGTGGGGAGAAAGTAGGGAATATTTGCTTTTAAAGAATTTCATTTCCAAGCCAAAGAAGTGTGTGAACTGAGATGGCGTGGGGTGCAAAATCGAAACTCCCTTGTTCTACTCAGCAGACAAGTAATTGTCACAGTTGAGTTCAATTTTCATCATCTGAACACCAGAACAGCAGTATAAAAAACACAGAAAATACCCAATTTTTTTTCCCCTTGCTTTCATTTTCTCGGCAACCAAACACGAACTCAAAAAAAAAAAGGGTTTGTCACTAAGACCAAATACTTCAAAACCCCCATTTATCTGCACAAATGAAACCCTGCTGTGACTACAAACACATACATATACTATACATATATATATGTGAAGAAAACCTAGGTCAAAATTGAAGTAAACAAACTCAAATTAAACACAAGATTGAGGGATTTGATCGTACAAAGTGTGTAAAAAAGTGAGGATTAGAGCGGTCTTACTGTGGCTCAGTGTACGAGAACCGGCCAGAGAGCTTAATCGGCGGTTCGAATCGCGGCGAGTTTTTCAGGCTGGAAAGGGAAATGCAGTCTCACACAGGGGCTGACGGACTCTCCGTAGATCTTTCGATCTCTTTAGTGACACGTGTGCTTCACATATGATTTTTGTTACCTTTTCTTTTCTTTTTCTTTTTCATTTTCATTTTTCCCATATTTCCCAATTTTTTGTTCATCGAAAATTTATAAATAACGAAACAAAAACATATTTTATTTTATAAAACATATGGTTAAGTTTACAATTACATTTATCATTCACTTTATTAAATAAAATATGATTTTTTTTAAGCTTTTAATTTTTTATGAAACTCATTTTTTGTATAAATAATTTTTATTACGAAACTTATAAAATGGATGATTTGAATTATCAGTGCATATTTAAATTGTGACTTATAAGATGAGTATAGAGAGATATGAAGAGATGAATATATAGAGGAAGAAAACTTATAATGTATTGTGAAATCTAATACTGAGTGTTAAATAAAATTAGTTAATTTTGATTTTAATTAAAATAATTACGAGTAAATAATAATAGAGTCTAGTAAAATAACATATGGTTTAATTTTGAATTGAAAATAAAATTATGTTTTAATTTAATTAATTTATATAACAAGTAATAAGTTGAATATAGTGATTTGATTAAGACCTAGACAAATGAGGGACATTGGGATGAAAAAGTACTTGCACATAATTAAAATATAAAAAGAGTAAAATTGTGACTAATATTTATATTGTATATTGTAAATTAATTAAGCTTATGTATTATGTGAGTTAATTTAGGAGGAATTACATTAATAGTCTGTATAGTTTAGGGTTCAGGTCACTTTGGTCTTTGACTTTTTAATTAGGACACATTTGATCCTGAATTTTGAATTTTGTTCCAGATAAGGGCAATTGAAGATATCATTGATCAATTTCAAGGGCAAAGTCGTCAATTTAATACAAAATATAAACTAATTTGACAAAAATAAATGTCAAAAGATATTTTTAAATTTTTAAATTTTTAAAAATTATTTCTACTTATTAAAGATAAAATT